ACAAAAAGTAAACACTATTCTGTAGTCAGTTTATCTGATAGAGAGAGTTCTTATTTCTTAATGAAATTAAGTTAGATATTGTTTAAATTTGGTTTTGCTGTGCAATATCTTGCTTTCTCCATCTTTGATGATTAAAAAAATCAACTATGATGATTGTTGGGTATAGTAGTCTGGGATGACATCTGTGGTCTTTTAGAGTTTGCAAGATACCCGCCCAAGCTCTTCTGGCTTTTAGAAGCTCTGTTGAGAAGTTGGGTGTAATTCTGACAGGTCTGCCTTTATACATTACTTGACATTTTCCACTTGCATCTTTAATATCTTTTTTTTGTTCTGTACATTTAGTGTTTTGATTATTATGTGGCAGGTACCACACTGAGCACATTGACATGGTCTCTCTTCTGTGTGAATTCTCTGATTTAGAACAAAGTATGACTTCTAGAAAAGGCCTTCCACACTCAGCACACATAGAATGCTTCCCTCCAGTAGGAATTTGCTGATTTCCTGTGATGTGGGACTTCTGAAAGAAAGCCTTCTCACATTCTGCACATACATAAGTTTTTTTCCTTGTGAAAATTCTCTGATGTCCAAAAGGATGTGACTTCTGACAGAAGGCTTTTCCACAGTCATTGCATTTATAGGATTTAGCTCCAGTGTATGTCCTGTGATGTATGATGAGCTATGATTTCTGAAATAAGGTATTTTTGCATTCAGTACAGCCATGGGGTTTCTCCCCAATATGAGTCAATGGATGTGCAGTGGGTTCTGTCTTCCTGCTGAAGGCTTCTTCACACTGGACACATGTGCAGGGCTTCACACCTGTTGGAATCTTTTTATGTATAATAAGGCAGGACTTTTTGGAAAAAGCTTTGCCACATCCAGCACATTCAGATGTCTTCTTTCCAGTATGAGCTCTGTGGTATATAATAAGCTGGGACTTCTGGGGAAATGCCTTCCACATTCTCTACATAGATAAGGTTTCCCTCTAGCATGAATTCTCTGATGTATAATGAGGGATGATTCTTGAGAGAAGGTTTTCCTACACTCAGAACAGTCAGAAGATTTCTCCCTAGTAAGAGTTCTCTGATGTACCATGAGGTAAAACCTCTCATCTGTGTAGGTTTTTTGATGCACAGAAAGCTGTAACTTCTGAGCAAAATCCTTTTCACATGTAATCCAGAGGCAATTTTCCACCATAGTTTGATACTGAGTGAAGGGCTGGTTATTGCTGAGTATTTTTACATTGTGATTGTTACCTCAAAGTATTAACTTGCTAATTAATTTTTTCAAGATTTGAATTAGACACATTATAGCTAAAAGGTTTTCCACAACAACATTCATCAGGGTTTGTTCTTAAATAATTCTCATTACAGTGAAGGAGGTCAGTATTTGACTTGAAGCTCCTTTTAATTATATATTGTCTTTGCTTTATTACATGTGACAATATAGACCCTTGGAATATTTTCCCCAGTGAATTGTATTTATGAGTTGATGTCTTAGTCATTGGCTTGCCATCAGTGACTAGGACAAAACTGTAAAGGTTTTCTTGATTTTCTTCACATCTGTGCAGTTGGTCGTCATCTGGACCAACTTTAAAGTGAAGTTAAGACGCAGAATCAAGGCGCCGACCCACCTGGCTGGCCCAGGATTTGAAACCAACTGATATACATGAGGAGTGACTCCATACCAACCACGATATGTCAAGAAAGAAGAAAAGACCCAATGGAATTGTTTCATTCAGGACAACTGATAAAAGTCTGTGCCCCGATGGTTCGATATTCAAAGTTGGCTTTTGGAACATTAGTAAGAAAATACTCTTGTGACCTGTGTTACACACTAATGATAGTTGCCGCTGATTTTGTCAGATCTGTAAAAGCCAGAGACAGTGAGTTTACCACAAACCAAGGTGATTGCCCGTTGATTGTTCAGTTTGCTGCTAATGATGCAAGAGTTTTATCTGATGCTGCTCTGATAGTCTCCCCCTATGCAAATGGAATGGATGTTAACTGTGGTTGTCCTCAGAGGTGGGCGATGTTGGACGGTTATGGAGCTTGCTTGATCAACAAGCCAGAGCTAGTTCAAGATATGGTGAGACAAGTGAGAAATCGAGTGGAAAGCCTGAGGTTTTCAGTTTCTATCAAGATTAGTTGCTAAGGGAGACATAAGAAGCTTGAAAGAAGCAGAAAATGTGTGGCAGATGACTGGGACAGATGGTGTGATGGTTGCAAGAGGACTTTTAACAAATCCAGCTATGTTTTCTGGATATGAAGAAACCCCACTGGAATGTCTCTGGGACTGGGTTGACTTCGCTCTTGAACTTGGAACTCCTTTTATTTGTTTCCATTAGCATCTAATGTACATGATAGAAAAAGATAACTTCAAGGCAGGAAAAGAGAATATTTAATGCTTTGTCAAGCACATCAGCAGTCCTGGATTTCCTGACAGACCATTATGGTGATGATTCAATTTTCTAAGTCATTGTAGTATATACTTTTTACCTACATGGAACCATATGAGGTTACATCCTTGGATTTCTTTTAATTCTATGGCTTTTAGCATCAGTGCAACAGCAATTGCCAGGGTTAGACATGGCTGCAAGTGTCTTTTATCCAACCACTCAGAAAGCTGAAGGAAGAGGTTCGGAAATTCTAGGCCAGCAAAATTTTATCTGAAAGAACAAATGGAACTTTTCCATAACTGAGAACTCAGACCTGGGACTGTAGAGATGGCTCGACAGTTATCCTTGGCTGCTCTTCCAGGGGACCTGGATCCAATTTCTGGCTCCCAAGTGGCTGCTCACTACTGTCTGTAACTCCAGTGCCAGGGAATTCAACACACTCTTCAGTCCTCCTCAGGCACCAGCTAAGCACATGATGTACAAACAAACATACAAGCAAAACACTCATACACATAAAACTAACAACAACAAATATCAGCCCCTATACTCCTTCCTCATTGATTCTAGTTCAATAGATTGTGAGCAGACCCAGAAGTTTTAAAGAACTCAGGAGTTTCGAACATCCAATAGTCCCAGATCAAATATTGAAAAACTCTGTTTCTAATCTTTAAGGGTGTGGTGGATGAGAGGATGTAGAAGTTTTACTAAAGGTATTCTGTTTTTAAGTATTTTAAATAAAACTTTTCTAATAACAAAAAAAAAATAAAGTGAAGTTAAGTGAACTGTCCTTTGGGATTCTTTTCAGTATTGGGATTCATTCCATTATCTTATTTTGGAAGGGAACAGTCCTCAGACTATATGACTAGGGTCTATGAAAGTTATTCTTCCTGTCTAAAAGAAGGAAAGAAAATCATAAAGTCATATGGAATATGAACTATTTCATTAAGAAAAATCTGTTTGTGTTTTCATAGACTTCATTAATGGAAATCTCTTTAAGTCCTTGAACAGATTTCTTATCTTTTGCTTCAGCTCTATTGCATTTCTCCAGGCCCATTGTAGTAAGATCCCTGGGTTCTGGTGGAGACATTGTCCTAGTTGTTACTGATTGTGTTTTTATGCTGGTATCTACACATTAGTGTTTGGGATGATTGTAATTCTAGGCATTAACATCTGTTCTTATCCTTGCTGTGTGGTTATTCTTTTCTTTGATTTCTGTTGCCCTCTCTGGATCTCAGAAGAGTGTGGTGGCTGTGGGTTGCCTAGAATGGAGTGCTTCTGAGTCCTTTCTAGTTGTGTCCACTGGAGATTCCTAGTAGAATGGCTTTCTAGGTATTAAGGACTGTGATGGGTATTCTTACTTGTCAACTACATTTGCAGTTAGCTAGGGCTCAGGTGGCTGGGTATATTTATGAAGAATTATTTTTTTTTGGTGAGATCATTTGAGGTGGGAAGATGCACTTTTAGTCCAGATTTTTGGGGGTGGACCTTTAACATTGGTTGAAACTTTTGGTGGTAACCTATAAAGGATATGAAAGAAAGAAGTTTTTGCCCTTGTCTGCTTGCCCTTACTCTCACTGGCAAGTTCATCATTTCACTGGCATTAGAGTCTACTTCTTTTGATGCTTGTGTATATTGAAGACCAGCTGAGAGGTCCAGTCTTGTGGACTAAACAACTATTGGATTCTTGGACTTTCTGTTGGTAGACAGACATTTTTGGTCTATCTATCTATCTATCTATCTATCTATCTATCTATCTATCATCTATCTATCTTTGTGTGTGTATATAGACACACACATGAACGCTCATGCACATATATGTGTGTGTGTGTGTATGTGTGTGTTCTGTTCCTCTGTGACTAATATAGGGGCTATCATGAAGGAATGGGGAAGGGCCAGAAGCTCCCGAGGTTCATTTCTTAAGAGAATGAAAAATTTCATGCAAAATACATAGATAATATCTTAAATAAAATCACACAAGAACATTTCTCATATCTGTGGAAAGAGAATCCTATCCAGATATGAGATATACAGAACACCAAAACAGAAAGGACTAAGTAAAGAAACCTTTCACATTATATTATAGTTAAAATGTTAAATGTACAGAATACAGAACATATACTGAAAGCTTCAAAAGAGAAGGGCCAAATCACATACAAATGCTAGTCCATCAGTGTAACTTCTTACTTTTCCAAATTCAGACCATGAAAACAAGAAAGGTTTATGTCTTGCAAAGTTTGAAAGATCATATTTGACAACATTTATACTCATGATGCTTGTATACTAATTATGTTTCATGAATGTTAAGAATTTCTGTTTCTAATATAATTCATTATCTCATATTCTTGTTAGGAATATTGTTGTTGGAAATGTGTATGTTTGAACATTATAGAAGTCATATTTTCCTATGCTGTTCCTCCTGAAGATATTTCATGGCCTAGGGACTTCCTAGCTATGTGAAAGTGTATTTTTAAAAGCATGGATACCAGTGGCCATGTGTTACATATCGCATCAAATGTCACTGATCTGAAACACAGGCCTTAAATTACCCTTCCAGCCTCTAGGATGTGTCCTATTTCATATCATTGTTTTTTTTTTTTTCTTGCAGACCACATGGTTCTGACGTGATGACTAATCTTGGCTGACAATGTGGCTATCTCTGGAATCAATTAAAATGCAAGCTTCTGGACACACCTGTCAGGGATTTTCTTGATTAGATTATTTGAGTTGCAAAAGCTCACTCTTAATCTGAGCCACACCTTCTGGGGGCAGCCCACATAAAAAGACAAGCAAGAAGGAAGCTTTTTTTTTTGGCCTGCTTGTCCCCACTCTCACTGACAAGTTCATTTATCCTGTTGTTGACTTATTCGGTTGCTGGTATTAGAACTGACATTTTTGGGATTCCAATACAGACTTAAGGCCATCATCTCTTTAGGAATTCCTCTAGGGCTATACCACCAGATTGGGACTGCCAGGACATCCAGTCTTGTAGACTAAGAACTACCAGAGTCTGGGCTTTTCTGCAAGGGGACAACCATTGTTGGACTAGTTTAAGAACAGCTTATAAGCCACTTTATTAGATCTACTTTATATTAACACACACACACACACACACACACACACACACAGGCACACATATAAAACTCACTAATTTTTTTTTATCAGTTCTCTTCTTTTAGAGAATGCTGATTAATACAATGTCATTCTTTTAATGATTTCTTTTTAGAGCTTTTTTTATGTTGGAAGGAATATGATTTCTTCTTCGTTAACAACATCAAGTCTGTTGAGACAGCCTATGGCCTATGTAGGCATAGGGAACTTTGCTATGCATACTAGGGAGGAGTGACCTTTGCTTATTGTAACTGCTCTGTGAAGTCACAGTGACAAATCAAGAAAACGACTCAGTTTCCTTCTTTATGCTAACTAGTGTGATTCTATCTTGCCTAAAAGGGATGAACAATAACCAAAAACAATTTTCCATTCAGTGATATATTAGTACTTTTCACCTTGAAAGGAAATGTTTTCTTTTGTGAGACTCAATTATAAAAAAAAATATTGAAAGCAAAATTTTCCTAAAATCCTTGTACTGAGAATAAATTGGGTCATGGAATAGCTTCACACTATTAAAGGCCTTTCTTTGTAAATGTCTCTTATCAGAGAGCAATAGCGGTAGTTTAAATATAGAAGTAAAAAAAAAATCCAACAGTCTTCACTTAGTGTAATAACAATATTAACAAGGGACCACAGAATCAAAGAGATTTTGTCAAATCCTTCTAATTTCTAAATTATTCCTCCCCTGGAAGTCTTCAGAAGTAAATAAAGTCTGTTTGGTCATTAACTATGGGAAAAGAAAAGAAAACAAGCAAGACTCTGGCCAGGGAGGCTAAGTGCAGATCTTCCTCTTTCCACATCTCCTCTAAATCCAATAGTTTCATGACCAGCTGTGCATCAGACTATCTGTTGAGGTCTCCTCCCTTATCCCATGCCCCTTTCTCCAGTGGACCATACAGATCTTTCCCTCCTAAGTCTCTTCTTGCTTTATCCTAAGTCCCAGTGCCAACAGGCACTTGCTAGGAACCCACAGACCACTCTGGCCAGGGAACAGATAGGCAATCTGCAGATTTTCACCTATCTCCTTTCTCCCCGAGATCCAAATCCTCAGTCTCATGACCAGGTTTATAGCCCACCAACTTCTGAGGCCTCCCATGAACCCCTGCCCTCATCTCCAGTGGATCACACAGATAGTCCCCTCCAGAATTCCCTCCTACCACTCATTGCTTTATCTCAGCCCCCAACACCATCAGGGAATCCCTAGAAACTCTCACACTCCTCCAGCCAGGGCAGCAGGTAGGCTAACTGCAGATTATCAATCATGTCTCCTTCATTTCTCCCTAATAAATCCCTGAGTGTTATCCACAGATCCCTAGCAGACTACTTGCTTTGGCCTCTCCTCTTCTGTCCTCATTCCTGGGGTCTAACAAGATCCTGGTATAAGGGGGTAGTGTCAGGATTTGGAGGAAATGTGAGAGAATTACAGAGGGTGAGGTAATTGAGCAAAAATATGTAGCAGAGGGGATGAGGAACTTGGGATAGCCACTGGAGCGTCCCAGACACCAGTGAAATGTGAGACTCCCAGAACCCAAATGGATGACTTTAGCCTAAATGCACAGAAAAGGGGGAGATAGACTGTGTAGAGACCACCTCCAGTAGATAGGCACTGGCTCTAGTCAAGGGATGAGGCCACCCACCCATCTTAAATTTTTTAACCCAGAAATGCTCCTGTCTAAAGGAAGAACAGGGACAAAAAAATGGAACAGGGAGTGAAGGAAATGTCAAGTGAGGACTGCTCCACCATGGCATTCATCATGTCTGCAGATACTAAACCAGACACTGTTGCTGTGGTCAAGAGGTGCTTGCTGACTGGAACCTCTTTTGGTGGTTCCTTGGGAGGTCTGGCCAGCAACTGACCAATGTACATGTGAATGTTTAGAGCCAACCCTCAGACTGAGCTCAGGAAACCAGGTCGGGGAGCTAGCAGAAGGAGTAGAGGAGCAGAGGGGAATTGCAACCTCATTGGAAGAACAACATAGGCTGGCCTGACCAACCAGAGCTCCCAGAGACTAGATCAACTTCCTTTCTCCCCATAAGGGTTCTGTACAAAGGCAGCTTCCTGTCACTAAGCATAAACGGCTAAAGTTTGCAGTCCCTACAAACACTCTTTCTGTGGTTCATTTTTGGTTTATAGCTATCACCTAAAGGTAAATACACTGAGAAGTGTCACTCAATGAAATGGTACTGGAAGATGTGTCTCTTTAAGAGGGAGGCATCAAGGAAAGTAATTAGTTCATGAAGCATTACCCATTGCAAAGGATTAAAGTAACTCTCCAGAATCAAGTGACTTCTCATGAAAGCCGGTTAGTAGGAATCCAGCACTTCTGTGTACAGCTATTTCCTTTTCTACTTCTTTTCCATGTTATCATGTTGCAATATGTTGATGTCATGCTGTTGGACTTGTCAGCCAACTAGTATTACAAGCTAAATTAACTTCCCTTTTAAAAGGAATGTGCCCAGCTTCAGGTACTTTGTTACAGAAATGTACAAACAAACAAACAGAATCCAGAAAAATAAAAAACACAAACAAAACACTAACAACAACAACAGCAGCAAAACCCCCACAGTTCTCCTGAGAATAAAATCAGAGTGTGGCCCTTTCCTTTGCCTACTACTTCTGATGGCATCACAACTTGAGTAGAAGATGCAGGATTAATCATTATTATAACCCTAGTGTCTGATTCAGTGGCTACAGGCAATCAAATATTGGTTTGACCTGAGCAGATTCACACTCAGCCATTGCTTCTGGCACTCAGTTTTGGTTTGGCTCTATTTTAGTAAGGCTCCTGTTCTTTGTTATGGGTGAGGGGTCACTCAGAGATCCATCATGATTAAATCCACCTTATTAAATTATAAAATTTAACAATAAGAAGCTTTTTATTAAATACTGGCACTTGAACGGATTAGGGCCAGGTCTGCACCTGAGAGAGCTCCCCAGATGTATCAGAGAGCCATACCAGCCCTGGTCTTATAATGGCAAAAATCGCAATATTACATGCATCCTGCCTATGTGTAGGCAAGCTCTTATTTCAACATATATAACTTATATTTTAACATATATAACTTGCTGTTGTCCTACTGATCGTTTGAGCCAAGAAAGCACATTTGATTTCCAAAGCACAAAGTGAAGTTAAATTTAGGACCCATTCTCTTGCAAGAACAGCAAATTTTACAGGGTCGATCTATTCAAGAATCATCTTCAACGTCTAGGAAAAAGGGAAGTGGGCTGCTGGAGTACGGCCTGTACAAGCTAGGGGCTTACATGTTAGATGCTTTTTAGATCTTGGTCTCTTAATCCTAGTGAGCTTAAACTGTAAGTGGAATGTTGACCATGACATCCTCCTCATACCGCCAAAGTGAAACATGCACTGAGTCACTAAGATGCATGACATCCTTCTTCACACTTTATTCTCAGAATTCCAGGATCATAGGAACAATTCCTGGAGAAATAGATGCCATACTTTCTGCATCTGTACATCTCACATTCCCCGAATCCCCATCAGACACACACCCGTGCACACTCTCACACACAGGCATGCGCGCTCACACACACACACACACACCCCTCCTCATTCACAACATTCCTGCTGACCACTCTTGCTTTATGTAAAAAGATCTTTTTGTGTTGATTGTTGCAGTGTTTGCAGATCTGACTACAAAGTTATTTCTGGTAGAACCCCCTGAGTGAAACCCCTCCTTCAAAGGCTGGCTTTGTTTTTAGTGTGAGAAGCATAGCTTCAAATGGTAAAATGCTACTTATTTGTGTCACAAATCACAGCACATGATAATTGAACATTCAGGCCCATTTATCCACAACTGTTTGTTAAAATGCATTTGTAGCTATAAAAGCTTTATGCATGTCTGAAAGTAAACATAATTTTTTCTTTCTTCAGCATGAGTTTTCTTTGTTCTCTTTTTACTTTATCAGTGTTTTGAATTTTGTTTTCTTTATTGAAAAACTATTATTTAATGCAATATATTCTGATCACTGTTTCTTTTGCCCCAATTCCTCTCACATCCCCCCTTCCCACCCACCCAAATCCAAATCCACACCCTTTCCTTCCTTCGCTAGAAAACAAACAGGCAACAGCAAAAAGACAGAACAAGGAAAAACAGATAAATGAGCAAAAGAGTCAAAGGAGAAGCACAGAATACACACACACACACACACACACACATTTACACACACTGAAGTCCCATGAGGACACAAAATTGGAAACCATAATATATAAGCAAAAAACATGTAAGGTTAAAAATGGTCAAATTATTATGAGACATAAAAAAACCAACCAACCAACAACAACAACAACAACAAACTCCAAAAATAGCATTGAGTTAATTTTTGTGTTGGCCATCTTCTGCTGGGCATTCTCTTAAGTGATATATGCATACCCAGTGAGATTCTGTTGGAGAAAGGAAAATTAATACCTTATTTATTAGCAGTTGCAGTTGAAGACAGCTTCTGGGTTAGGGACAGGGGCTTATGTCTACTTCCTCTCTCAGCCCTGTGCATGCTGTCAGTCTCTGTAAGTTCATATATGTGCCTATTTAGAAGGCATTGTTTCCTCTGTGTCTTTG